TTTAAAAAAAAAAAAAAAAAAAAAAAAAAAAAAAGGCTCTGCCCAATCACACGCAGATCACATGTTTATCGGATGAGCTTATCTGCTTTAGGCAAAGTAGGGGCAGTTACGTTAGTATTGCGTGCTATCTCAACGCATATATAGCCTATAAATGTAATTTGTACATATGTATGTAGCTTACATCTCAAGATAAACTGTAGGATATCTCCTTGAAACTGACCATGCATCTTTTTGGCATCCATGGATCGCTTCATTGATTATTACATAATCAACATGCTCTCCAGGGCTCCCCAGTTAAGCATCACCGGCCCTCTAGCGCTGATTTGCCCAAGCATAAACTGAGTGTAAAGACGAGTAGCCCGAGTAATATCAATAAAATGCAATACGCTAGTCCTATCACCGGGTCTAGGGGTGTATTCATGTATTATTCAGATCGTCTAATCTTGGAACTTGGAAGGTTCTCATTAAAAAAGGACTAGTGTGTTACTGTGACTCCAATATCTACTATGTACCGACATTATATAGGTACTTTACTCTGCACGTTCCTATTTTACCTCCAACATTCCAAGGTCGGGTCAACCTCAAGGGCCATTCCTGGCGGCGGCCTAGGAAGGCTGTTTTGACTGACCTCCACCAAGCTCACTAGCTTAAAACCCGACTTCCGCTACAACTCACAACTACCCTGCGACTACTCAAATCCCATTTCTCGTGAGTATTTCTCCATATCACACGATGTGTCCTTAGCTACGAGCAAATTATACTCACATGTCTTAGAGCATGTCGCCCCATTACAGTAACTTACTGGAAATCCCGTTGCTCTCATTGGATCCGTCGCAAATGTTCGATTCCTTCGGAAACTTCAAGCCCGTTCAGAAGTACCAACGGAAGGGCAGGCGAATCTTTGAGTACGGCGGGGGTCTTCAAATACCCTCGGAAAACTTTGTGAGGATTTTACTGTTCGATTATTTCTTACGGAAAGCCAGACAACAGGTGGAAGTGATTAGAGCCGTCTTCCAAGCATTGGAGAACTGCACCGAGGATGATGCAAATATGCGCCACGAATATGAGAGTGGTCTTGACCGCGGTGAAGTGCTTATTTGGGAGATAACAGAATGCTTACGCAATGCGGAGATCCAGCTTTCCCAAAGGCTATTGAAAAAGATCTATGATGAGATCCGACAAAATCCTGCTTGGCACCTCCGAAAATAGCTTGTCAAAGATTGTGCGGAGAGGGGTGACTGCTGTGCTCGAAGCTGTGGATGTTGTGAAAAGTGCTGTCTAACTGGTAAGGAGAAGCGTATCGGGCACTGCACGTTGCGGTGTTGGTGCTGTGAAGTCAATCGTGGTCATCGACCAACCGACACGGAATTGGAAATGGTTATGAAAAATCTAGAGGATAGGTTCCGGAGCGAAAACCCCTCCTATCTTTTAGCAATGACGGAGGCCTATTTCTCTAAGCCGGGTATCTTCGGGCTTGGAAAGATGTCAATGGTGAGATCACTTGTGTGGTATTATAAGAAGTCTTGGCGGTGGAAAAAAGAGGTAATGATTTCAGTGCTATATGTTGAAGGTTACTTTTAGTCTGTGGCCAGGCGCTACGATTGCTCAATATTTGTGAGCTTCCGTCTTGACGCATTGGCTGGCTTGCTTGGTATAATACTTTCTGTCGTCGTGAATATAATTACGCTGACTAGTAGATAACATAGTGCAACCCCTTATCAAATACATAACCCAGCGCTCAACGAGTGGGACGGTAATAGACAAGCACAGTGGACGTGCTGTATCACCTATAGGGCATTAGAGACAAGTGCGGCAATCTGTTGCTGCCATAAGATCAAAACTGGCTTTGGTTGTCTAATTGTAATCCATTCATTTTAAGATGAATTATCTCTAAGGTCTGAATCACATGTTATATATAGAAAAGCAGGTTTGCGCATTTTACACCTTTTTCATGGCATATACACTAACAACATTTTGTGGCTGGTTCTTCATATCCTTCTAACTACAGGGGATACCTGAGAAAGGAATATAAAAAGCATATCTGGAAAGTCTACTGAAAAGACTACTGAAAAGAATATAAAAGGATATCTGAAAACACTATCTTAACCTAAATGGGCGAGATATAAAAAGGCCCTCTCTCCCCTCGCTCGTGAACTCTCCTTACTTTTTTCCCTCTAAGTTTACCATGGAAAGGAGCGCCAAGCTCGGGTAAGAGAACCATCAACAAGCCCTGGAGTTGACTGAGCATTACTAACATCTGGAATAGGCCGCTGAAGCTGCTGCAAGGGTACCACCCCCCTGCGCAGAGGAGTTGAGAAACCTGTGGGCAATTGCCTACAGACAGGTCGAGAAGGTAAGAAACTGCTTGTCTCCCCTTATCTATGAGAAGCAGTCCTCTCCCGTGGTCGCACGACCAGATATTCGTTTCTAACGCACGCTTTATAAATAGGCCGCCGCCCCTCCCCCCCGGCCCGCGGCGCCCATGATGTCCCGCTCTTGGGCCGCGTGACCAGGGGCCCCGTGCTCCCTCTTGCCTGCCCATGTAAGTCTACATGCACTGAATGGTAAACATAAAGCTAACGTTGTGTGATGCATTAGGAAAAGAAAGTTTCTGTACCTGCGCTGTTATTATTATTTTTTAAAAAATTAACAGCTGCGAGCAAGGGCTAATAATAAGAAATCTTTACTTGTGGACATTACGCATATATATTCGATCCTCATTCTTCTGTAGTCATATGTAGGCAGTGAAGGGTGTAGATGACATGAAACCGGTAAATGTCTGCTTTTTGCTCCAGAATTTGAAACGATATGCCTTCTCTCTTCTAGTCTTATCCAACACATGCATGCTCCTCAAACTCGGCGGCTTTACGAAGACAATCATATCATCGTCCATCTTCAGAAGGTGCTGTGACTGCTGGGTAACTGCTCGTTTGCGCTCTTCGACGACAACTGCACCTCACTGCTGGCAAAATGACAGTCCAGGTCATCCAAGACCTCTTTGGACCCATGAAAACCGAAGATCTCAGTATCTGCGTCTATAATGGGCGTTTGCATAAGCCGAAAGGCGGTATAACCTTCCCTGAAAGCGTCAGGTGACCAAGATAGCCCTAATCCATCGGCTGGGATCAACAGTAGCACCAAGAGATTCATCACCGGACAGGGTAATCTGCGCCATTCCCTGCCAATTGAAACTTGAGCATAATGCCAGGGTCATATTACATATAAAGAATGCCGAAGATAACGCGACCTGCAAATGTTGGGGCGAGGATTCCCGAGGCGACGGTCAAATACGCGGTCTGTACGGACATTAGAGTGTTTCAGTCTGACCACGCCAAGCCTGTAATTGCTCCATTGTGTAGGGATTACACAAGGCCGCAAGGTGAAGAGCATGCTGAAAATTTGGATTGACATAGGACTCAGTGCCCCACCCTAGAATCTGGGTTCTCGGCTCTTCGCACTGTCTTAACACACTGTCTTTAGCGTTGATCTTTGTGGAGGAATGACTCCGCAGTAAGTAAAGACCGACAGAAGGCAAGGCGTGAAAAATCGCGCGCAAAGATACAAAGCAATCATTGTTGAGAGATAGGGTCAGTAACATACCCATGTATTGACCGGGTCCGTGCTTATACCGACCCTTGAAATCCCCCTGTTCGCTTTTATCAAAAGAAATGTCCGCCAAGAAAGAACAGGAGCTTGTGGGAAAAGGGCAGAAAAGAGGGATAATGTGAGCTTAGGTTGGCTTCACTGGAGGCTACTAGTCAACAGCACCACGTAGAGGTCCAAGCTCGTAGCTGTTGGATCTTCCAGGACAGACTCCCCTAATCACCCCAGAAGACCCCGGCCAAGGAAGACCGGAAATGACTCGTCAATTGATCGGGAACAGGCCAGGCGGACGCCGGTTATTCCTTCAAGAACAGGCCCGTCAATTTATCAGGAACAAGCCAAGCCGAGGCCCGGCGTTCCTTCAAGAATAGGGGAACAGGCCAATCTAAAGCGAGTCGTCGGGGACAGGCCAAGCCAAAGCCAGCCGTCCCTTCAAGAATAGGCCCGCCAATTCGGGCCGAAGTAGGCCATTCAATTAGGAATAGGCCAAGCCGAAGCCAGCCGTTCCTATAAGGAAATATGAAGCTCGTTCCTCTGTTAGAGGTAGACTGACAGTCGGACACCCTATGTTCCGTAAGACCCAAGGGTGCGACGTTGGCCACGACCAAACCGAGGGCGACGACCGGACTCCGTATAACCTTTTCGTGTTGGATTCAAGCCTCTCCAGCTGGAACTCTGTTCGGGGTGGCTAGAGCCCTCGGCTTGCACGATGGATGTCCGGTGGGATGGAGAGGGCGCATCAAGACTTCGAGTCGGGGGGAATGGCAAAATTCCAACGTCTCGGGTTCAAAATTCGAAATTCCTCCAGTCCTCAGCCATGACAGCGCGCCGCGCAACTCTTTGGCTCGCTAGTTTGCCTGTCAGTCCCAGCGCAAATCGTTCAGCCGGTGACTCGGCTTCTCTGGCTGCAAATTCGGCGGTCTAAGCTCGTACGCCATCCTCCCGGGTCCGGGTTTCTGCCTCTGTGCGCTTGGTGCATTTGGCATCCTTCCTATAGTGACTATTAGTATTCGTCTAGTGTCAATAAATGAGCATTATCCTCATAACTGTTCTCAGTGTAGGGGAAGGGAGCCAGTGAATCTTAGCGTGTCTCTGTTTGGGCTTCTGCTTGTGGCTCACTCAACTAAGCAGAAGACGTCCCACGTGTAAACGATAGCAAAAAGAGGAACAGTTTTGCAAATCTTGACCATAACCCAAGAATTCGGCTTCGAAGGGGCCCCCAGTGCATGGGAGGCGTTGCTGCAGATGTTGTTAAGACATTTCGAGTGATTGGAGGGGCTCGAAATTTAAAAAGTGGGAAAAAGCAACGAAGATGAAAGAGGGAAAAGAGGGAAACGAGGGAAGGGGAGAAATTTAAACGGTCAGGGGCTTGGTGCCTTCCCGTTTAGTCCAGTAAACAGAAGCTTCCAAGGACATGTGTATTAACATACAGAGGCTGGTCTCAATAGGTTCTCAATAACGAGAAATTACTTGCTAAATTCTTACTTTGAGCTCAACGGCTGGACTATAATGAGCAAATCTAAATGTGAGATAGGATGCTGCTCTAGTGAGGACTTCTATGGGACTACCTAGCTGGCTGTCGAGGTGGTTAAACAAGACGCCCCTAATATATCTTGAGCCAAATAGATTAGTCCTACGTCGTCACCTGGGCAGGCAGAGAGGCCGAATAAGCGGCCGACTATCCTTTGTGTACATGTACGCGGCTATCATGAACTAAACCATTGTAGTTTGTACTTTGTATTTCAAGGTACATAGTGGGATATCTCCTTAAACCTGAAGACCTTGCATCTTTTTGGTGGCATCATCAGTACCCTTGCTGGCCTTCCCCTTGGCCTTGCTGGATGTGGTATCCTTGGGGAGCTCCTTGGTGTAAGGGAGGAACTCAGGAGCACCGGGAATGTACTTCCGCAGGACCTCCGGGACCTCGATACCCTGAATAATAGTTAGCGACTGTCCGAATCACCTGTGAACTTTTGACACTTACATCTTCTTTCTGGTAGTTCTCAAGCACACAGCAGAGAGTACGCTCCGTTGCGCACAGAGTGGAGTTCAGCGCATGGACATAAGTCTTCTTCAGATCGGTCGCCTTCTTCACGCCATACCGGATCTCCAGAGCTCGGGCCTGGTAGTCGGTACAGTTGGAGCAAGAGACGAGCTCCTTGTACTCCTGCTGGAAGGGGAACCATGCCTCCAAGTCGTACTTCTTGGATGCCGCGTTGTTCAAGGCGCCGGATACAATGGCAACAATGTTGTAAGGGAGTTTTAGGGACTGGTAGAATTCTTCTGAAGTGTTGATCATCTCCTCAAAGGCTTGCCATGAATCCTCAGGCTTTGTAAGAACGAACTGCTCAATCTGCATATAGTTAGAACGTGAAAATCCAGGGCGTTTGGATCTATACTAACCTTTTCGAATTGGTGAACACGGAAGATGCCCCAGGCATCTTTTCCGTGAGATCCAGCCTCCTTGCGGTAGCATGTGCTATAACCGGCATACCTATTTCTTTTATTAGCAAAAACTACTCAATCCTGGACGAGAGTCTTACTTGATGGGCAGGTCCTTATCCTGGAGCCACTCGCTGTCGTGCAAGGCAGACAATGGTTGCTCGGAGGTAGCAATGAGGTACTTGTCGGTCGACTTATCCTCGCTCTCAGTAACCTTGTACAACTCCTCGTCGAATTGCTCGAGCTGCGCAGTCTTCGCCATGAGATCCTTGAGCATGAATTGAGGGGGCTGGTTCGGTGTGTAGCCCTTGTTAAAGAGGAACTCCAGACCATAGTTGATCAGAGCCAAGTTGAGGAAAAGACCGTAGCCAGTCAAGCAGTATCCACGGTGGCCAACAACCTTGACACCGCGCTCTGGGTCATATCCATCGAGACGAGTCAACACTTCATGGTGGGAGAGGCAGCCTGGCTTCTGCATTTCGGCGTTCTCGGGGGTCCATGTCTTGATCAGCTGGTTGTCTGCCTGTAGCCAGAAATCCGCTTGTCAGTCTGACGGCGCATTTAATCGCCAGGCTTAAAAAGACCCATACCTCATCGTTGCTGACGGGCACGGATTCGTGGACGTAGTTTCCAATCGTGCGAATCTTTCGGTCGCGTTGAACCTCCTTGGCGACAGCAGCTTCCTCCAGCTCCTTCTTCTTTGTCTCGAGTTCTGCCTTTTGCGCGAGCAACTCGGTTGCGTCTTCCTTGTTCTGAGAATGGATAAGCATCTCTCCATGCAACTAGGCTGGCCGGGAAATGCCTACCTTCTTCTTCATTCCAATTGCTTTCTGGACTCCATTGATCTGAGAGCCCATCTGTGTAACCTCATATCGGGCTATACCTGTTAGTAAGACTTCGCCAACCTTATAAGGAAAGGATCCATACCGCGTCGTGCCTCTTCATAGAGCGCGACAACTTCATCAACAGTCTCCTCCGGAGCAAATCGCTTCTGCTGGCTCTCCTTGATCTTCTTGATATCACCACCGCGCTCGGTGACGAAATCGGCAAGGTCCAGCATATTGACGACTGGAGTTCAAAGGTTTAGGGGAATCCAAGTGGTAGAGGGGTGACTCAAATTGTGGAGGGGTAAAAATCAAAGTGCGTGGATACACGCACTTGGGGTCGCATTACTTAATCGATAAAGGCGCCTCCCGGGTATACTTCCAAATAGGCTAAGTTATGGCCACGGATATTTCTATAGATCAGTCTAATTTAACACTTTTGCATACTTATAGAAGCATGTTTAAATTGAGATTCATTACTCTATGCATGGTACCGATCCATGTTCCCGAATTCGACCCTAAAACTCATTATTCATGCAATAAACCCAATGGTTCCACCAGAAAGACACAATAGAAATAGAGCCAAAAGGAAGAGGGCCTCGAGAAGAAGCCATCAAGCGGGTGTTATCAAATTGGCGTTGATGATCTCTAAGTCAATAACAAGTCAGCAAACAAGACATCCGTAGATCTGAATTGAGTGGACATCAAAAGAGCAAGGAATAGTCTTATCAGCTCCAATGAAAGAGATGTTTCTTCTTTCTTGACTTAGAGACCCAGAGATCTAGAGATGGCTTCGCTTACCATCCCCGGGAGAGAAACACACGCGGTCCAGTAGAAGGCTCCCGTATTACATCAAAGCACACTTGTTATTCCCAGTTGGTTGTGAGGGATTTTGAGACTTCTCAACCTCTCCTATCATGAGATCAAAGGCTTTCGAGACATTGAAATCAAGGAAGGCACTAGCCTCAGTGAAAGCGCAGTTGAGTTCCTCCGCTAATTGCCGTCCGTCGTCGAGGGTGACTTGGCGGTGATCGGGCTTGAGATCACTCTTGTTTCCTACTATAACAAGAGGTACATCATCCGCTCCCTAGAGGAAAGATTAGATGCTGGTTTGTGAATACTAGTTATGGGAAGGGCGGTGACTGACGAGGTGGTTCAGAATCTTGTCGCGAATCACCCGCACCATGTCAAATGACTGGCGCGATGTCACTGAATAGACAATGATATATCCATGAATTCCAATGAAATGTTTGGAGTTCAAGATACTATATTCGTCCTGTAGAATGGTCTCAGTAACCAAGCGGTAATCTCGCGCAGGGATCACCTACCTGTCCCGCAGTGTCGACGATCTCAGTTGCATAGTCCTGCCCATTGTGCTTGATAATCCGGCTGAATGTGTTCTCAATTGTAGGGTAATAGCTTTCCACGAAGTGATGCTCGACGAAGCGAACCGTGAGAGACGACTTTCCTATCAAGAGATAAGTGTTAGATCTTCGCAATTATAACAATTTGGATTATGAAGAAAAGGCTCTTTCTTACCCACGGACCGACTGCCAACGATTGCGATCTTTCTCTGCTTAGGCGCGGAAGGCATCTTGTGCAGCGCGGTAAGACTCAGCTAAACCACCAGTGTGAATGACAGATAATGATGATGATATAGTCAGGTAGACAGTGTCTTTTGATTGATGGAACTGGATCAACAAGATAATATTCAGAGACAAAATGGCACCTGTTCAGAAACAAAGGTCGTCGGGGGGTGGCAAATCCCTCGAAGCATGCGGAGCTCCAACTCCTTGTAACCTGCAAACAATGCAAACGGCGGCTTCTCCAACTCCAGGTGAGTGCTCTATAAAAATAATTGCCTACATCTTGATACGTTCTATGATCATCGATTTGTTAATTCTTTATAAAATACACTGTATTACAGAAACTAATGATCTCGCTTTTTCCAAAATTGAGCTCTGGTTTGACCTGAGGTCATCATTTTATGATGATCTTGATCATGGACATCTGTCCAGGTGGATATGTGAATGTGGAACATTCTAGCGTAAATGGTTCAATAAAAATGACGAGGAAAAGGGGTATCAAAAGCTGTCAACAGACCAAGAAATTCATGTCATCTGAGTCTAGAAAAATGCCGGTAGGAAAGACCAGGCGCGCACTTATCTCTGTCGAGCGACACATGTATAGCACGCGATGCTCATCATTGCTCCGCCAGTCGAATCCGAGTAATAAGTTCCTGTAACCTGGACAGGAACCCGCTCGCTGGTTGTCCCTGGGTTGGGAAAGTGGAGACTTCTTGTTCGATCTTTTGATGGTATTGCAGGAATTCATCAACGGTAGATATCACCGCTGTTAGTCCGTTGGGAGCGAGCGAGCTTTTGATTCTGGACCGAGTCTCAGGATCCAAACTGAGTGTTAGTAAAAGGACGGCCAAATATCCCACAGCAACATTGTGGTGTACTTCCAAGACCGAATGAGCCTAAGCAGATCCAGTTAGTCCAATGCGTCGGCAAAAAGGGAAACCAAAAAGACAGAAATCTTACCGTGGAGATGGAATCGACATGAGCCATGAATAAATGCAAGAGTTGATCAAGGAAAGGCTTTGAGGAACCAGCAGAGTGAAGAAAAAGTGATCTTGATGCTTCACTCTGTTCAGTCAGATTGATAAGTGCGCCGAGCGCCAATATCACGCTGTCCAGAGAATTATTCGTTTGTCCAAGCGCATCTTCCGTCAAATCACCAAATTTTGCAGAGACGATGTGGACTAGTCCCCCAACCATCTCTGGGTTTGCGAATCTATCACAGAGAGAGGGGTTGCTGTTGGTGACATTCAAGATAAGTCGAATGAAGAGGGGTTGTATTTGGCTCACAGTGCCTGACTCCAAACAGAGCAGGCTATGAAGCTCAGAGAGCGGGTCTAGGATATCCCAATGCTCTTTCGTGAATGACTCAGCCAATGCAGTAGAAGCTTCCAAGATTGAAAAGCCCATGCACAGAATCTGAGAGCTCTCTGGGTGTATCTTTTCCAACGAAACACAACGTTGGCCTTCTGACACGAGCACTTGAGCCAAAGGCTTCAGAAGAGACGTGGAGAGGCTAGGGTTCTCGCCTTTGGTTTGCATCGTGGAAATCGTCGACCTCAGGCAATACAACGCCAGAGTGCATGGGGATAGTTTCGACAATGCAGGATCGGGAAACAGCACAGCAGCTATCTGTGGAATAGTATTTTGGAGTGTCTTTTGTGAGGGCCGAGAGAGGCCGCCGGCTTGAGCTCTTGCGGCCCCTGGTATATCGTCTTGCATGTCCAGTAAAGCAGGCGATGCATCTAGAAGCTTAGGCCACGCGGAAGTTGCAAGAACATAAGACATATGTCCATCCGATGATGCCAGTGCGTAGGCACAGAAAGCCAGAATAGTGGGGACTACCTGAACGTCCATAGACAGACAATCCACAAGCCTTTTGTCAAAATTGCATTCGACAAATCGCCGTTTGAGCCCAGTATCCATAAGTTTGCCACACAATTGGAGGAACGCACTGCACCGAACCGTCAACGAGTTTTGCGGATCTTCAATATCCTCAAAGATAGATTCGACGGCTCCTCGGTAACGAGCGTTTCCTCCAGCTTGCCTGAGTTCATGAATACTTCGGACAGAGCCATCCTCGTTGGTATCCTCATTCGGCACGATTAAACGGGCGCTGGAAGTAGCCTCATAATTCAACTGACGTTGGACAGATTGAGAGCCGTGTTTCTGGCCCGAGGAAGCACCGTGCGTCGAAAGGTCCTCTGACATAACCAAGTCATCCAAAAAAGAACGCTGGCGGGCGTAGGTGACGCGGGAACCTCTTAAATGGGATGGAACTGAGGCAGGGGAGCCTTGAATGTGGCTTTCGGCAGGACACTCATTCAGAGCCGGGCTTGGCGATGCTCGGTCGGGAGGGGTTGGGTTCGGGCGCGGCTGGCTACCAGCGGGACTCTCTAGTGGTGTTTCAACCGCCGGAGATGTTTCAGCCGGGTGTTCCGTAATTCCGAGCGAGTCAATCAGTCTCCTTCGACCAGGGGTGAGGTTCGCTTTCGTGGCATAGGCCTCATTGATGTCCGGCGAGCTCTTTCGCATGGACTCTCCATCCCCGAGGCTCTCCCAGATTGAAAGTGCCATTTCATTCTCGAGAGTAGATACCTTGGTCTGGCTCCGCACAAACATCCCAGCCCTTGAATATGATGTCGACTCCACGGTGTTTGTCTGCTGGTCGGCTTCTGGCTTTTTGGCCAATGGCCTTTGGCCACTGGGCACCCTCTTCCCCATTGGTGGTGACACGTTATGATCTCCATTCTCTGTCTCGTTTGGCTTCACGGATCGCTTAGTCGCAGGAACGGCCTTATTTCCATTGGGGCTATATCGCCTTCGCTTTCTCTGGACCATGGACATCTGTTCATCGTCTGAAGAGGGGAAGTCATACACGCTAGACTCCGTGATGGGTTTTGGCTGTGCAAGTCCTCGAGTCGTATTTGTTTCTGCCGATCCAGACAGTTGCTTATCTCCATTCTTGTCGCGCTGTAATCTGGTGTAGAATGGCCGTGAGAGACGTGACGAGCTTGGGAAAGGCATTTCTTTCGGAGTTGCTCTAGAGGCAGATGAGTGAAGAGGTTTTTCAGTATTCAACGGAGGTTGACTTTTGGCAGCAGAGCCATAGGTCATGAGTCGCCGATTCCGAGGGTGTGAGTTATCCATCTTCGGTTCGCAAAGCACGCAAAACCAGATGCGCACGCGTTGTTTTATGAATTTGACAGAGAAATCCGGTTCTGAAAGGGCAACAAAGGTATGCTGAAGAGGAATTGGATTAATGGATTGAGTAAAACGTGGTCATTTCTTGAGACGAAGCCATGTCCTTGCGGTGTTCAATGGAGCTTACACACGCTCAAAGGGTGTGCCAAGTGGCACAGTCATCAAAGGAGAGACCCTTAAGTGATTGGCAGTGAGAAGAGTGATTACCTAGGCAATTTCCTTTGAGAAGGTCGCGTAATGAAATAATTGACAGCATCCGAGGTATGATTGGGGAGATGATGCAAGTGATAAGAGGCGGAGGGGGGTGAGATGGGGCAGAATCACCCACTGCGGTATAGCTTCCAGATATAGGAAAAAAGATAAGAGAAAACCCCTACATGCTTCCCCGCTTTTGGCTTTGAGACATCCAAAGGTCCTTACTGTCCTTATATACCCCTCTCTAGACTCTTGCTCTTCAAAGGTACTTCGAACTACTGCCTTGGGTGAACTTCCGGTGCTTCCATATTCTAACATCTCTTTCCTCTCTTTCTCTAGTCCTACGACGCACACACATACATCTTTGGACGCAGCGAAACCATGGCTAGCAAACCAGAGAGCGGTCCTTCTCCTGCGCAGGGCGTTGGTCCTCTGTATCGGCCCGATGGTGAGAAGCCCACTGCAACAGTCTCAAAGGAAGTCTCCTACGAGAATGTCCACGTGCTACCTCAAACACCCCAGTTGATTGCGCTCTTGACGTGAGGACCCATTCTCTGCATGGAAGGTAAACCTAGACTCATATTTTATACCACAAATAGGATGATCAGAGACAAGAGAACCAGCCGTGCCGATTTTATCTTCTATTCTAACCGCATCATTCGGTTGCTAGTGGAGGAAGGCTTGAACCACCTCCCCGTTGTCGAGCAGTCAATCACTACCCCCGTTGGACGGTCCTACCTTGGTGTCAAATTCGAAGGAAAGATCTGCGGTGTATCTATCATGCGCGCAGGCGAGGCCATGGAACAAGGATTGCGCGACTGCTGCCGATCTGTTCGCATTGGAAAAATTCTCATCCAGCGGGACGAGGAGAGTTGCATGCCCAAACTGTTTTACGATAAGCTTCCTACTGACATTGCTGATCGATGGGTCCTTCTCCTTGACCCCATGTTTGCAACTGGTGAGTTGAGATTGTACTACAATGTCCCTGGCAACCCAGCTGATTCTTTTCCCAGGTGGTTCTGCAACTCTAGCAGTAGAGACACTGATCGAGAGAGGTGTTCCTGAACACAGGATCTTATTCCTCAACCTCATTGCCAGCCCGTCTGGTGTTGCTGAGTTTGCGGAGAGATTCCCTAAACTTCGGGTTGTGACCTCTTTCATTGATCAAGGATTGGACGAGAAGAAGTGAGAATATCGCATTTTTGGATGTTTGTAATTGCCATGCTGACTGATTGACAGGTATATTATCCCCGGGCTGGGAGATTTCGGCGACAGATATTACTCTATGTAAAAGCGCTGTTTCTTACCACGTTGAAAGGAAATCAGTGGCTTTAAAAGGTCACCTGGAAGATCTGAGTAATTCAGTATTCCATTATCCATCCATTGCTTGATCTGTTCCAGATGCCATAGGGCACTTCCACTTCCCATACAAGTCAGCTATTCAGAGTTGACTTGATGGCCGGTAGTGGGGTAAAGATCTAGATCGGTGAGACACTTCCAAGATTCTTGGGGTTTAGGATATATGATAAGCATATGCAACAAGAATATGAGCAAGAATATCGGATACCATGTACATACAAGAATCTCACAACTCGATTATTGTTGATATCGTGCCTTAATGCGCCGTTCGCCAAGATCCCATTATCAGATCAGTAGTCATCATCATAGCCATCGTCCTGCCCAGTCTCTTCTGGAATAGCCTGCTTGCTGATCCCTCTCTGTCCTAACTGGCTCGGGTTCGGTGCGTCATACTGGTTGGCAGTGTCCTTCGCAACTGCGTCACATGCATCTACCCAATCCGAATATACATCCACGGGGGCAGAGAGATCTTTTGTAAACGATTGCGTTAGTTAGAGCAGTTAGGATTGATGCCTTGGGGCGGTTATCATCTCACAATTGATACCAGTTTGGAACTTTTGGCCACAAACTTTGCACGATAGATCGCCGAGGCCGAGCTTCTTGTCTAGCTTGACGACCACAGAGTTCTCATGGTTGCAAAAGAGACAGGAAAATGTGGTAGCAAGAGGCTCCCTCTATGTTCCACAGTCAAGTCAGTGCTGAGTGCAAAACTTGGCGACTTGTGATTCGTTTACCTTTCGGGGCCCTTGGGGCTTCGAGCTTGACTTCTTGCGCTTGCCCTGTAGAAATCAACATCTATCCACAGTGGGCGCGGTCGGCGCGGTCGGGTAGGGTGAAGCGATAACACATACCATGCTTAAGTGAACCTGCGACTCAGGGTTTGGAATAAAGAAGGGATGAGAGGAAAGGTCAAGCAATGAGGAGCGTTGACCCGTAGGCCGCAGCATGGATGCCAAGGCGACTTGCTCAATTGGGAATCGGAACAATAATAGTCCAGATTCCGACATGTGATGTCAGTTGGTGGCGATTCCCACAAAGCGATCTACATTATACAATACACTAGGACTTTTATCGAAAAGGTCTACGGAGTATGTGTGCTAATTTAAAGCTTTGGAGGATTCAATGCGGATTGTTCAGGAAAGAGTATTGATTTTGGCAAATGGTATAGAACCAATCTGATACATTTGTATGTATACAAATATACACATGGGCAGTGTACAACAATTCAAGAACAGTTTTTAGCGCCAACAGCCTCCAGGGCTGGCCCCGGCTCCCGCAGACCCTTGTATGGTGATGACATAAGGCGATGACATAATGAGAACCCGAGTGGGCCTTTTTTAATGTTCGATCACATGACTACGCTGAATGACATAATCAGCTAGGGCCCGCGCTCGCTTAGCCGAGTTTTCTGTGGGTTTTCAACCCTCCCAGTCGAGTGTCGAAACCCTCTGAGCGCGCGGTGCGATACCTTTGTCTGTCTTCCAACAACACACAGATAACTCGCAATCATGGCTGTTGGAAAGTAAGCGCCCTACTCTTCATCCTTTTCCTGCTTTCAATTTATCGAATTACTTGCGCATCTACGACATCCATGGAATTCACGAACACACGGCTAATCCTCATCGTTCAGGAACAAGCGCCTATCTAAGGGTAAGAAGGGTATCAAGAAGCGCACAGTCGACCCCTTCACTCGCAAGGACGAGTACTCTGTGAAGGTATGTTCTATTCCTTTCATTGTCCCATATGCAATGCTAATCGTCTCGACAGGCTCCTTCCACCTTCCAGACCCGCGAGTATGCACACCACCCGAATCGAATATGGCGAAATTTGAGTTGGATTGGCTAACGGAATTATCAGTGTCGGCAAGACTCTGGTCAACCGCACCAGCGGTCTGAAGAACGCCAACGACTCCCTCAAGGGCCGTATCTTCGAGGTCTCCCTCGCCGACCTTCAGAACGATGAGGACCACGCCTTCCGCAAGGTCAAGCTCCGCGTCGACGAGATCCAGGGCAAGAACTGCCTGACCAACTTCCACGGTCTCGACTTCACCACCGACAAGCTCCGTTCCCTTGTCCGCAAGTGGCAGTCCCTGATTGAGGCCAACATCACCGTGAAGACCACTGACGACTACCTCCTCCGCTTGTTCGCCATTGCCTTCACCAAGAGACGCCCCAACCAGATCAAGAAGACCACCTACGCCCGCTCGTCTCAGATCCGTGCCATCCGCAAGAAGATGACCGAGATCATTCAGCGCGAGGCTTCCACCTGCACTCTGTCTCAGCTCACCCACAAGCTCATCCCCGAGGTTATTGGACGTGAGATCGAGAAGTCCACCCAGGGCATCTACCCCCTGCAGAATGTTCGTCTTTCGCCCCAAGACCCGAGAATTGCATATATGTGCGGATTGCTAACACACATGTCTACAGGTCCACATTCGCAAGGTTAAGCTCCTCAAGTCGCCCAAGTTCGACCTCGGTGCTCTCTTGGCTCTGCACGGAGAGTCCGCGACTGACGACAAGGGACAGAAGGTTGAGCGGGAGTTCAAGGAGACCGTCCTCGAGAATGTTTAAAGGTTATGTCAATGAAGTGGTGTCACGTACTGGTCAGCCGGGGCAAATCATTGTCTTGTGGTCATAGGAAAAGAAAAAAGTTCAAACGTGTATGACAGATTTGAACTGGCGTTTGGCTACGCGTTGCCAGTCTTAGACATGATCCCAAAAATTCAAGGGTAGTAGTTCATTCATGTTCAATACTCTTCAATCTACCGTGTAGTAAGATGCATTGTGTAGTCCTACAACTGCTTGTTCGGGAGCGTGATGCTTGGTCCAACTACATGCCACTGTTACAGCTCTGTCGATACACCTTATTCGCCCCATAATATATACCTACTCGGTTCATCCGTGTGTCTAGTGCCAAATGTGGAGAGCGACGACGGGTCAGTTCTAGCCCTACCATCGGTCTGATCTTGACCTTTCAAATAACGACAAGATCACCGTTGTAATTCTATGTGTTATGTTCCAAAGTTCATGATAGAGATAGATACTATCTATCATTGGGGTTCATTTAAGGTCTTAGGCCCGAAGAACGAGGAATAAGTACATTAAAGTGGGTGTAGTATTGAAGCTAACTATCTATTGGTGGCCTTAGACCACATTTGCTGCATGTAAATACGTTTGATAGGATGAGTGCCTCCTAGGTTGCTCCGCTCTCTCACTTCTCCGTGAAATTTCCCGCTAGGCTCGAAGAAACTTAGTCCCGGGAGGTGCTAACCGAGGTGATTCCAGATCAGACATGGTCCCGAAATAGGTAGAGTCCTCTAGGGCAGTAGTCAGTCTTCTCGTACCTAATAATTGTTGCGGGGTGCAACTACTTGTATAGCAGCGAGGGTATGTTTTGCAGACATGTACTATCGAGAATATCCATCAAGCTTTGGCATCATTGTTCCTAATGCTGAGTCCCTTCATCGGCCACGGATATAATATGACACTAGGGGAAAGGAAAGGATATAATTTTAAGGCATTCAGATTACCACGGCGTTATACAACGCTTGAGAAGCTTCACATACGTAGACTACTTATATCAGGCATAAAGCGTCATTGTAGAAAAGATATAGTCGGTAGACTCCAGCGGACGGATTTATGACAGACGTGGGATGCAGACGCAAGTAGGTTCTAGCAGGCCAAAAAGTGTTTATTACGCCTTAGTTATTAGTCCTTCATACCCTTTGTCCAATTGACATGCTAGCTACCCTCATATGGCATTGGTTCCACAATTCCTCGAGGCAATTCCTCGGCCTTGAGTATTGACAATTCGCAATGAAACCGAAGAAAGAAACACATGTCTCTTCCCCTTTCATTAAATACTGTTCTTACATCTCGACGTTTATATGCTATAAAAGGAAATAAGGTTGGTGGAGCCCCCATTAGTCCAAACCCCCGCACTCTCTAGGGGGTATGAGGTCACGAGTCCTACCCCCTCTTGGATTGCATGATACCCTGTCTCTCTTGTCTCTTCTCGTTTTCACTCTTTTCATCTCTCCTTGAACACAATTCTTCATCTTCTATCACATCAAACATCCACATTGAGACCAGTAAGCATCCATCCCGTGTTTATATACTTCTATTCCTTGGCATTAAACTATATACACCTGCCATCTCACTCCACCAATGGCCATCCTATTAATATGAAATCCAACTCTTAGTGACTCGCTCACACAAATCAAACGACCGTGAACACCAGGCCGAGGGCATGATGGGTACCCGTGACAATATACCACGCTACTTTGCGAAGTCCGGCCCAACTGACGCTGATCCTCGCAAGACAAAGAAGGACGGGGGTGGCAAAGGAAATTGGTAATCAATGCATATCAGAATCATGTGTATTCATCTGCTAATGCTTGCATTTCTACAGGGGTCGATCCGGCGAGGAAATGCAGGACACTGACTACTCGTTCGCCAATGCTAGGCGTCGGTCCAACAGTAACACCCAGGGCCTGGCCGAGTTCCACACCAAGTTCGAGGCTTTTGACCCTGAGCCTGTGTTCGAGGAAGAAGCCCTTGGTGAGGCCGACATGACTGCGGGGACTGATAATACGGTGACCAAGGTCGAGAGTGCCAGTAGCAACGACAGCGAGGTTGATCATGATGGAAGGAAGTATTAGGGAGTGTCGTCTATTGCTGTAGCGACTTGACCTACCTCTAAATCACAGATGTCGAGTAGGTCGGAAAAAAAATGAACAGGTAAATGCCAGGGGTCATGACTCGGTGACCCAGGGAATCAATATTTATTGTATGAGAGTATGAGAAAACAACCTGATTCAACATTTTATATTTCACACTGTAAAAATGACGGTCTGTGACCAAGTAGCTCTGGGGTTTACCAAAAGCCTGAACAATAGAAATATCTCTTGAGATTTCATACATACAACATATTAGGACCCATTGGCCACTGGATAACCGAGTAACAACATTGAAAAACGCCGCCATTTCATCCGCAACCCGCGTCAATTGTAGACAAAATTCAATCATTTGCTCCAGCGACTTCACCGTCAATCATAGGTGGTCTCGGGGGCGATATGTGGACCTCAGCAGTTTCCCGGAGGTTTTGGAACCAGAAATCAAGTTTTCCGACCTCAATGCACTGGCGCAAAATATCATTTTCGGTCTGAAGATCGGACGCCACACGAGACTTTTGCTCTGGGCGGAACCGTGACACAAGAATATCGGAATCCGAATCGGTCATCAGAGCCTCCGCGGGTGAGAGAGGTGTGTAAACAGAGTGTAGACCAGCATTTCGAGGTTCTAGACATAGTAGGTTGGTTAGTTCGATAGTCCAAGTGCTTATGTTTGGACCAAACTCACCTCCCAAGCATGCGGTTAGTGACCGGTAGAGCGCCGTGTCGGCTACCAAGCTTTGTGCATCGCCGTTGGGCCCCTCAGCAGCTTTGCCCCGAGCCACCCAATCATCTTTGATCAAGCACCGTCGCCAGATCAATCTCCGTAAAGCCATGAGGTAGGATGGGTCTCGCTGGCCATAGCGTCCATAGTCAAGAACCTGCAAGGCGAGATGGAACTCGCTTCGTACAAGCTCGCTCTCGTTATTATCTGCGAGCTGACCAGGGCCCATCAACGTCAAGATATCAATCAAGCCATCGGCACCAACAACCTGCCTCTCGATCAAGGTAGAGAGAGCCTCGCTCAAGATTTCATGAAGCGATGGCCGATCTTCGAAGATATGTTCTCCATACTGATCGAGAGCTAGTTCGAGTTCTGCCTTTCGGTCGATAGCACCCTGGAGGATAGGCTCCATGTGCAAATAGAGGATGTCTTGGATCCCATCGACCTCAACGTAATCATCAAGACGCTTCACATCCTCTTGCAAAGTAGAAGTCACAACGGGAGAATCCATTCGCTCCTGCGTCGCTAGTTTGCCTAGCTTGGCTAGCGAGATTTCTACACGGTGGCTCCACAAGTCTCTCTCACTGCCAATAGCTAGATTCTCCAATGAGGCTGCAGCAGTGTCATAGTCGTCTTCACCGATGACATCGTTAATCCAGCTCAGGCGAGAATACGCGGGGTTACTTCGAAGGAATCGAGTGACGGCAGATTGGTATTTTCGCATCGTAAACAGCGTTCCTGGATAGCCCATAGCGATTTGCCGAGAGAAGTATGCATCCGCCCATACGTCACCAAACTTGTCGAAATACTTGGCGATCAATCGGTCGGCATCGATCTCAGTTTGAATTGTGGCAACATCGCTCGGGGGTTGCGGATGTTGAGTTGCCTTTTGGTCTTGAAGCTCGATGATCAATTCGACCAACGCTCCCATGTCTCGGAAGCTTTCTGCTAACTCGACAGCATCGGCAAGATGGTCGATACCAGCCAGCTTGAATAGTTGCCATTTGCGGTCTTCGACATGGGCCTGCTCAATCGAGACACTCTCATCCATTAGTTTGGGATCTCCTTGCGCAGAAAGCCATCTGGTTCGTTCGAGATGCATTTGACCGATCACTCGGAGGTGCCGATAGCTGTTTTTCGCAACTTGATTCAAAACATGCGTGTCAGGGGAATCTGCAGCGGATGCGGGGGTTTTCCATGACCGGCAACTATCTAGTTCCAAATCCAGTAAATGCCCTGCTTCAGAGTAACCAACACCTCTCGATGTCCAGAACTCGGGAAGTTCTTCAAATCCATCTGAAAGCACACCGTCCTCCAGGAAGTCTCCGCGAAGACCATAACGTGCAACGTGCTCATCGCGATACCGGAAAGCAGTTTCTGTGACAGCGAGAAACAGCTCACTGGCCGCCAGGATCTTCTCTGACAATGCACGGGCAGGGTTGGAAGTGTTGCCTCGACCGAGCTTGATCGCGTTCTTGATCCATGGGATGATATGCTCCATGCGGTAAGAGTCTCTCAGGAACCATTGACGCACCGGATCGGTCTCTCCTTGTTGGGGGTTGATTGGAGTTTTGAATTTATCGTGCATGGCTCCAATGACATGACCGAGGAAAGGCTCCTCGTCTCCAGCTTTGGTCTTACAGGCCTCTTGAATCTTCCACATAGCTCTCTGTGCCGCAATTTTTTCCGCAGCCCACAGCAGCTCCCACCTTGCCCGTCGACTCAAAGGATTGCCTTGACGCGATAGTAATGAGGCAAGATCATCCAGTGCCTTCGCCCTCAAGCGAAGATTTTGCTCTAGTGAGATAGCAGTGGTGGGAATGAAGCGAGTCTCTGACTGGAGTAGCTCCCTGCAGATTTCTAAAGATGCTTGCTCCATTTCCGATGGAGGGAAGTTCAAGTCTCCTTCGCTGGATAAGTCCAACGGATTCTTTGCCATGGTTCCAAAGAAAACCGCCTGCTCAAGCTTGTGCTTTGCTGTTACCTGAGGCTCCTCAACATCTTGTCCTCTGCCAGGACGAGGGAGTACCGTCACACGAATTACACCGAAATTCCGAAGCATAAGCACACATGCTGCGCAAGGTGAATCGTTCGATTGGTCCTCTGAGATGGACCCCAGAATTTCGTGATCTGTACCAGAGCGCAAGTGAATGGTGTCTTGGAAAGGCAGAGGCAACTTGTGGGAATCGAGAAGCAGCTGTGAGGATGGACTGTCTTCGACACTTGTCAACGACAGGATAACAAGAGACTGGCCAATAAGGATGAAAGCCGTTTCTTCTGGCTTCGGAACGAATATCTTGGGTTTCGAAGTTTCGAGCTGAGAGGCAGGAATATGGCGAAGATCCACGGCATGCGTTGACATAACACGAGATTCATTTCCAGACAGGTGAACTTGAACCACGAAGAGCGCCCTTGTCTCTAACCATTGTGGCGACCTGACAATTAGAAAGAGGCGCCAGGACCCATCGGAAAGTGGAACAGCATCGTCGGAAGAGGGCAGGCTAGAGAACGCAAAGTCCACGACTTTAAGCTCTGTATCGTTTGTCGGTTGCGCGTGATATTCGGGGAGGGCCGCCAGAATTTTGTCCTTGAGTTCGTATCGTCTTTTGAGGGTGTTCCCGTGGTTCCAATGCGTGTCCCATATTTCAACCAATCCGTTCGAAGTTGAAATAATGACATCTCGCTGGCCGCGTTGATGAGAACCACCAGCCCGAACGGCAGTGACCTCTTTTCTCCATGACCCGCCTGCGAAGACATTCTTGATGCCCCCGAAAATTCCACCGCCTCCAGCCCCTGCATTGCTTCTGAGGAAATTCACGAGCACTGAAGGCTTTCCCTGGGGGTCCCTCAGGGTGATGTGCGCTACTCGTCCGGACGAGAACGTAACAATAATGCCCGAAGGCTCGCCATTGAGTATCTCCGTGGCATATTCGCCGGAGAGCATGCCAGGGGTGGATCCTTGGATGCCATTCTGCTTTTGTCGGGATAAGCCCAGTGACGCGGCACTGGATACAGTCTCCCAGTAGATGACTTTTCCTGTTGAAGGGACAATCACCAAGAGACCGGGGTGGTCTCCCGTAGCCGTGGATAATAGAACTCCGAGTGGGACCGCACCTTTGGGATCTCTGCAAGACTCCGGAATCGATACCGTGAACGTCTCCGACGGAGACGGGGACGAGGTGGGCGCAGAATAGGGCCACACAATGGCATGCGAGCGGGTCAAAGCTAATGCGTGGTCATGACCAGGTCCGAAAAAGCACTTGAGGGGTTCTGCGTTCAGAGGGTGAGTGTCAACAAATCGCAACCAAGGTGAGGAAAAGCTATAGAATTCGAGATACCTGATTGTAAGCCGCGAATTTGATCTGGCAAGGACGGCAGTTGATCCACTGTGTAAAAATCGGTGCTTGACTTTGAACCCAGCAAGTTAGCAGTTTGGACTTGAGTCTGAAGGAACGCGCAAAGATCTGGAAGTAACACACCAGAACGATTGTCCCCTCGTCATTGTTTCCAGGTCCATCGCCTTGTTTCACAACACGGGTTGATAGATGCAACTCGCTCATTTGATCCGTAGGGGCAATGTCACCATTTGGCGCAGTGGGTGTCGCTAATTTTGCGAGCTCACGCCCCAGGTTGGTATCGGAAGGGGATTCATCTGGGCGTCGCAGGACAGAGCGCTGTCTCTTGGCCTTTGGTGGTTTGACAGAGTCGTCTGAGCCTGTTCGTTGGCGTCGACGAGTACTGCGACCACCGGCTTTAGGGACGAACATTTTCAATATGTACGCAACCTGCAGTCGCGAACACACGCTAGCCGAGGAAAGCTTCGAAAATTGTTGACCCTTTGGGGTCCGATTCACTCTTCAAGGTTGATGTAATATCGAAGAGGAGAGAAAAGAGAAAAAGGAAGGGAGAAGGAAGCTCTCCCAAAAGATGGGTTCGAATTGGAGCACGGTGATAGCAGCGATAGGGTTGGTCAATAACAATCGAGGATGTTTGTCCGAAGGCGGTGAGACAATAACCATATTGTACAGGCACATGAATGTGTAAGTTACATGTACTACTAGATACACCACATCTATATTATGCATTTGGGTACATTGTACGTAGAGAGTATTCTAGATTTATATCTCATAAATAAATAGCAATTTAAATTGGCTCCAGAACAAGGCGTTTCGTATGATTCGAGCCTATTATACTCATTGAAATGCGGGGCTCTGCATACTTGGCTAATCATCCAGGTGTCGGTATAGAGCAAATACCAATAGGATACATATGTACATACAATAGTACACCAACCTCAATTAGGTATTTAGCTATAGCTATATTGTACGAGGTTTACGTAGGTAAGCAGGTGTATATTATTTGATTGCTCTTAGATTATGAACAGAATCGTTATAGCGTATAATGACTGTTTAAGCTCTACATATTAAGGTCTAGGTTTGCATAACAAATTGACGGTTGGGGGAATCTTTTCGTAGCCGATTACCCCGAAAAAAGGAGCTCACGTGAATCCCTCATCCAACCCCACACGGACGTGCTCCCTTAACAAACACCAGCATGGACTGAAGAACGACACTCCCTCGCTCCATGGGATAGCGAATCTCAACCTCGTGACACTAAATAGCCACCATGCTCATATGTTGTGTTGATACGGTCAAGATCACGGCCCCCGAGGGTTGCTTAGGGCTGCAACTATAGAGAAGATGCTCTCACGCTTGTCGCATCCCAGAGGTCACCCCCGACTAAGATCCATTGTGCACGTCACGCAAGTTTTGGCTACATCTTCGAGACCGACAAATCTTAATCTCCTGCCCTTCAAACGAGACCTGCACACAGCCCTCTTTTTCCCAGGTTTGTATCGCCCCACCCCCTTTTTACCTCTGAACTTCACTTGGCCGCTAATACACACAATAGGACATGGAGTCCAAAGGGTTGGCATGGCCAATAGCTGGATTGAAAGCTTTCCCCATACCGCGGCTAAGGTTTTGGACGAGATGGATAGCACCCTCGGGTTTAAACTGTCCAGCATTATATCCGATGGCCCCAACTCCAAGCTCAACAAAACGGAAAATTCACAGCCTGCGGTTATGGCAACCTCAGTCCTGATACTTCGTATCCTGGAGCAGGAGTTTGGATTCGACACTAAATCTCGAGTCGATGTTACGCTTGGACATAGCCTCGGGGAGTTCTCCGCATTGGTTGCCGGGGGCTATCTTGAATTTCGGGACGCTCTAAAATTAGTTCGTGGTCGTGCTGACATGATGGCCCATTGTACGCGCCAGGTGAGCGAGCAATCGGGTGAAACATATGGCATGGTTGCACTTCTCTGCGAACCGGAGCACCTGGAAGATTTGCTTCGAACGGTTCAGGAATTCATTGGCCCCGAGTCACCGGGTATTGAAATCGACAGGGATAATCGTGTCCCATCAATTCAACAAGTGGTCGTCGCAAACATCAACTCGAAAAATCAAATCGTGCTAAGCGGTAGTCTTGACCGAATCAAAATCCTTCTGGTCCAAATGCGTCAATTTGGAGGTCACGACCCGCGGGCTGTCAGACTGAAAAGTGACAGCCCGTTTCATAGCCCTGCTATGGCGCTCGCTGCGGACTATATGAGAGATGCCGTCGAGAACATCAACATCACATTCCCGGCATCAATCCCATGCATATCAAATGTTTCTGCCTTGCCTTTCCAGTCTAAGGAAGACATCAAGGATCTCCTCTCAAGACAGTGCACTGAGACAGTGAGATGGTGGGACAGCATTCGCTATCTTCATCAGGAACGAGGCGTAAAGCGGTGGATCGGAATTGGACCAGGAAAGGTAGGCAGGAATTTGGTTGGCAAAGAGGTTGGGAGAGTTGACACCAAAGGTGGTGGTGTGTGGGCTGTTTGCGACCCTCGTGAAATGTCAGAGATCATGGTTGCCTTGGAGCAGACTGAAGTCGAAACTGAAGACTACAAACCCGAATTAGTAGGATGATAGAATGATCATATTTTTGCTATCTTTCCTATTTATTATATTCAGCTCATGACTTATGTACCATTGACTTATGTACCATAAGAAGTGGACATCCAAAGTAGCTGACAAACGAAAAAGTTCATGTGGCTATTGTCTGAGCAGTTAGGTGAGATTGTTGCTGTCTAACTAATACGAATGTGAGTTGGGGAAACTGGTTGACCTAGGTTTTATATGTATCAAGTTGGTACTCTCCTTACACTACAGAGAAGAACCTGGAGCCCACGAATCCCCAATACGTTTGACATCCGCAACGAACTTTTTGTTAGAGATTGGCTGGCAGGCGGAGAAAGAAGTATTCCCAGGAATCGGTACGTGGTCGTCGGGGGAATAGAATGGATTCTGCAAAAGCTGGATATATGCACTCTGTAATGCGCGGAATGCCTGTATGAAATAATTAGGGGGTGGGTTCTTTCGGCAGATAAGCATTCGCCAGACATAGAGGGGAAACACACCGGCTTCACATCAGAATCTCTCAAGCCATTAATAGCAGCGCCTGCTTGCCTTCCAGCGCTGGCCTCTTCCTGACCGAACAAATCCACAATGATCAATAGTTTCACTCCCGTGGTTGTCAACCATCCATAGGCCGCAAGTCTTTCGTCAATTGCATGTAACAGGCCTAGATCCTGATCAATCGACGTTTGTTTGCACCGGATATCGAAAATGTCGAGGCAGGAGTTCAGTAAGAAGGAGAATTCGATAGTGGAGTCTGAATACGGGGGAAACAGGGAAATATGAAGAGGATTATCCTTCAATCGAGTTAGCTTGGACAGTCCCAGAGGGACAAGATGATAGAGAGATGCGTACTGCCTTCCCAATCACACCAATGCAGGCAATTCTGGGACCCGCCATTTCCGAGATAGCTCTTGAAGTGGTAATGTATGCGGACTGCGCGCAATCACTTGGGGTACTGATTCCCTTGTCTGACGCTGTAGTCGGGTGAAAGTTCTAGTCTGGGTAGGTATTATCTCTCCATATCATGTCCACAATGCCCTTGAATTGAGTGGTCGTTTCAAGGGACCGGTACTTTGCGATCAAATTGTAGACAGTAGTGGAGTGGTTGTCTCCAATCCCCCGCGGCAATGGAGGAGACGCGTTCAGGCATGAAGGCAGCAAACGGAGCTCACGATGTAACTAAGAGCCAATGACCACACAGGCAATTCGATTTACGAGCATCTCACCGCTTTTACCATACTGGTTTCCATGACCGAAAAATACAGCCTCTGAGCCAATGATCCGGGAGGTAATAGCTTACATCATCTCTCTCAAACGGTCGGTATACATCATCTTCTTCCACTCTGGAATCGGAACCTTTTTGGGGTTCTCCTTGTCTTGCAGTTACCCGGAGCCCGCCACCTCTGCCCTCTTGTAATTCTATATTACCTGTCGTCACTAGCCGAGGCTGCAATTACCTGTCTCTCTAATCTCCGGGATTACGACCTCTTATTCTAGTTGTTCCTCCCCACCGAAGAGACTTTTCTCAAGATGCTTCCGATGGCGAGGCCCGCCATCTCTGGCGCTCTGTCTGGTAGGGATCTTCTTCATCTCATCGAGAATGTCAATTCACTAACAAAAAGCAGCTGCGCGACCCCGTTTCGTTGCCTCTCTCCCGCGCGCCCAACCCTTGGCGGCCCTCTCGACTTCGTCAATCAAATCAGCGACAGCGCTCGAGCGTCAACCATCAGCAGGCGCCCAGCAATTGACCGCGTCAGGCAAGGCTCGCCGAGAGGTGCCTTTGCCTAGTCAGGAGAAGAAGGAGGGTGCTATGCAATATGCCTTGTTCGTTTGCTCTCAATGGTTTTAATCTTACAGGCGCCTTGAACTTCCGCTGACCCTATATTACCCAGGACCACCCTCGATCAGATTGCCAATTGGGCTCGTCAAAGCTCTTTGTGGCCCATGACTTTCGGCCTTGCATGCTGCGCCGTGGAGATGATGCACCTTTCTACCCCCCGTTACGATCAGGATCGTCTTGGAATCATTTTCCGTGCTTCTCCGCGCCAGTCCGATGTTATGATTGTGGCCGGTACATTGACGAACAAGATGGCCCCTGCTCTCCGCCAGGTTTATGATCAAATGCCCGACCCCCGGTGGGTTATCAGCATGGGCAGTTGTGCCAACGGTGGTGGATACTACCACTACAGTTACTCAGTCGTGCGGGGCTGTGACCGAGTTGTGCCGGTTGATATCTACGTGCCTGGATGTAAGAATTTCCTCTTCACTCGCGCTTATGCTATTGCAATTGACTAATGAAAACCAAGGCCCACCCACTTCCGAGGCATTGATGTACGGTATCTTCCAGCTGCAGAAGAAGATGAGACACACCAGAATCACACGTATGTGGTACCGCCGTTAGTCTCTAAACCCAATGATATGGTGGACTGTTCTTTTGCCTCTTCAATCATAGTGCGTGGTAAACTTAAGTGACTCAACCTGACCGCCGTGGAGTTTTTATGTGTCTTTTTACTTTGTATATCAATATCAGGCTTCAGGGTCCGGTATTTTGTTTTTACTCTCACTTTGGTTGGTCTGTTCCACCTTTTTCTTCTTTGCCTGTCAGAATATCCGATCAAAAGAATTCGAATAAATGGTCTCATATACTCCAGGGCTGTCTTTAATAAACTTACGTATGTCGCTCTATGTATGGATCTGATTTTAGGCGGCGGTCATGACTTTCCAAGCAAGGGCTTCTGCCGCAGAAAGTCTCAACCGCGTAAACAACCTTGGGATGTTCTGGATAGTAGTCGTCATCACCCGGCTTCCTCCTGCCGCCCCCGTCGGGGTCGATCATGACAGTGGCCGCTTTCCAGGTCGGATGTAGTCGGATGGTACGGGAATATATCCAAGTCCTTGGAACAACCGGGAATGGTGGGCTTAAAATATGAGGGTCGACTTTGTTAGAGTAGGGAGCGTTAGTTAGAAGCCTATCATTCATCTCATCGTCCAATATCATCCTTGTTTCTGGGATCATCAACTGGCTTGCAAGAACAATTGATTGTAATGGTGATGGAGATAGCCAAATCGGTGATCAGCTGTAGCTACCTAAGTATGGTGGATGTTCTGGGACCTAACCTCGTCAGCAGCCTTTTCAACCAAATCCGTCTGGAGCATAAGTGAGCTTACTTATCCAGGCTTTCAATCCCTTCTGTATCATATGCAAACACGCTTAAAGTCTGGAAATCCGAGATATTCTCAAAGACTTGCATCGGATAGTGGACTGCTGAGGCATCAACATGTCTTCTTGGTATTGGCTCATCCCTTCGGCAGAAGAAGCATCACACCGATTGGCTCGCTGTTAAAAATCTGCCAAGCTGATTGGAATACAAATGTGTGTCCTCCACCTGCCTCCCATAATCAAATCGAATTCTTCATCCATTCTCTACATGCTAAGATGCACGGAGGAACGAGGAAGTTGCCATAAGTGTTTAATATCATTAGTACACTCATGGGGGCACTTCCACTAAATGGAGCCGTTGAGCTGGTAACCTTGAAGCCGCTGTAGTAAATTTGTGAAATGTCCCGGATAGCGACTAAATAGCTTTTCAAATCATCTAGCGCCATGGCCCCATTGCAGCCCGAATGGAATTGATCATAGTCTCTGCAATAGGTCCGGTGTAGGAATACAATCTAGTGCCCATGTTGGGTTCTTGGGCAGGAAATATTCAGCGTGTCCAACAGCTGATTCCATAGTGCGAACCATCTCCTCTGTTTACAAAGAGCCCCTCCATGGGCGGTCTTGATGGTTGCAGCACAGTCGACTACGGAAGAACACCGTAGGGTTTGTGGAGATACTCCAATCCACGAATCTCGCCAGGGACGCCACTTGAATATATGTTGGCTTTGTTAAGTAGCGCAAGAGATCTATGTCAGCTTCCCACCTTGTTAAGCCGCCATAGATTGATGCATTAATATTATCATCGTACACGTCCGCGGTAGCTGGGGCGGTTTCGCAGAAGTCGATGGACTCAAAAGGTTCCATTGGGTGCTCGAAGCAGCATGAACCCAACCCTCCGATGCCACTATGGCACATCTCTGCTTATCGTCAGCCGGATGTGGCTAAAGTCTTAGTTGCATACACTAACAAAGAGAAAGGATGGACGGAAAGGAGGACGAAAAAGAAGAGAGAGTGAGAGCGAGGTCTATCGCTGTCGTATTCTTATATACCTACATATAGTTACATAACACGCTTCTACTTTGACAACATGCACAAGCTAGTATATCTGTACAACGCCTTAAATATGACATTGTAAAATGACTCCGAAGTAGGTGTTCCGGTCTCGAACTGAAACATAAATATCTGACCTGTCAAGATTCTTAAGAGTGTTCAAGGGGATAGTAAACCCTAAATTAAGAAGTTAAAAGCCACCGAAGAAAGTTGATAATAGACATAACTCTACGTTCAAAAGCTAGTTCGAAATAAAAAGCTTAATTTTAATACATACCACTGCCCTACTAAACAATACTAATATCTATTTTGTACATGTGTACTCCGTACTCGCATACGGTCCACATGCTCAATATTTCTTATCAATGATCTCGTTATCATGTTTCACAAGGTTATCTTTCGTGTGGGTATTTGCCTGCCCAGGTGGAACCTGGAGATAAAACGCATATTACTAATCTTATAGACCAATCTAATTACCAATATACTCTGGAGCCAGAGACGGGAAGTGCGCCTTCGGGATTAAGGTCGAATAGGCTTCGGTAAAGTTTCTCCACAAATATTCGTAATAGATATCACCGAGCTCCTCTGACCTTGATAAGGGGAGGTGTTGGCCTGGTATAAGCCCCGAAAAGGTGGATTTGGAGTCTGGGGTTTTGATTCGTATGAGATCCACAGTACCAAGGAGGCGGCTGACTTGGGAATTGCCACTAGGTATTATGTACAACATAGTTATAGCTCAACAGAGTTTTTAAGAACTGCCCTGTTTCTGTTTGAGCGCAAAACTTTCCCTTTTCGCCTTTGGAGGCAACCACTGGGTCTCCAAAAAAGAAAGCCAAAAAAAAGCCAAAGAACACCCCAACCAGTCTTATCTGGACAGTTTACTCCGGACGTCTCGTGGAGATACGGAATGCACGGACGGATCGGCTCATTCGGCCCTTGGCTAAAACTCTACTCTGGAAGTTTCCAAAAGAACATCTATTTTCCTTCGCAAAATTCCCGAGTCGTTAAGCGGAATCCCGAGGCCGTGCACGACGACTCCTTTCAATCATATCTCCCGTTTAACGGGATATTTTGTCTGGAGCCCTGGAGGTCCCGAGAGTAACCGTGCCAAGAATGCCAAGCACACCGATACTACTACCCAGTGTTGGTGCGCTTGGCACATTCACCGGACCATATATTGGGAGAATAGCCATAGTAGCCCTTCCAAGATTTGAATAGGGTTTTGTAGGACTAACAACATTAGGATACCAAGACATCCAGCAAGGGGAACACTGTTTTTCTTACTGTCATACATTTGATCTGTGGGGAAACATCCATGTATATTGCGGGGGAATGACTTGGAGTAAGTATAACACCAATAATATTTCTCTCATGGCGCCGAAGGGCCCCGGCGTATGTCCGCTTGACTTTTCCAAGGATTTTGCCTCCACTCTCACCGAAATTTTTACGTGAGTGAAATACTAAATCGGTGAACCTGACATACCCCACACTATCCATGGATATCTCTCAGAACCTTAGTCACTAAGCCTCTCCAGGATATGTCTCCACTAGTCGAAGAGGCGAAAGAGGGATAGATAGTAAAATTGACCCCGGAATTTCGCTTAAAAAATATGTGCGTTGAGACCATTTAATCCCCTTGGCCCCCCCCCCACAGCTGCCCTCGGGTTCTGATCAATTCATTTCATCT